AATGTATTCCAAAGGAATTGGACTGGGTTTCTACAAGTCTACTTTAAAGAAAAAGAGCTACAGTGTTCTTTAAAAGAACCATCTGAACGTGAAATGACCAAGCCAGCAAGAAAAATTAAATTTAGTGTTTATCTAACTAACATAAATCTTATAAATTTTAATAGTGAGGCTGTAACACGCTTGAGGCCCACATGGGAGATGAAAGTAGGGAAAAGGTTTCATGGAAAGGCAGCAGGGAGAAATCTGGTTTTTTAATTAGGAAACCAGAAGAGATGCAAGGAGAACTGTAACGTTAACATCTGCCACAATCTGCACCGCTACGGCGGAGAATGGGTAATTGTGTCTGTCTCTTAAACGACTGTCAGCAGCGTCCAAGCCACATGACAAACTTCCTAACTCGAACATCCCCGAGCACAGGAGTACACATTCATGACGAGAAAAAGGCAGGAGGGGTGCAGGATTGCTCCAAACATGCAGCTTTGTGGTGAAAACACGAGCCTGAAGACTTCTGCAGGAAGCCTGGTGTTGAGTCCCAGCACCAGGACACTGTGCAGAGAAGAGTAGCGGTGGTGGTGGCAGCAGGATCTGTCCACATCACCTTAGTGAAGCAGGAGAGTATTTTCCCTGTCTTGTAGTCAGGGAATGAAGGTAAACAAGCTTTTAGCCAGGAGTCAGCAAGAGAAGCAATGGATCCAGCCCAGGTGTCTCCAAACCCAAGCCTGTAGCTCAGCCACGTTCCTCTAGAGCACACCTGCTCTACCTGCAAAATTCTGCAAGTCTCACTTTGAATAACAATTAGGATTTTTTCAATTGTTATTGATTACATGAAACTGTTATCATTGTAACATGCATATCAAAATTAGTAGGTTTGGGGTTTTTCGTTTTCTCCCTCATGTTTCCATTGGGGACTGCAGTCATTTTTAGGCTCACAAAGCAGAACTGTTGCTCCTCCTGCCAGTGGGTGTCTTGTCTTTAGCACTAAAACAGACATGAGACTGAGGATTTATCTGAAAAAAACATGAGTGGCGTTTCAGTTGAACTGGTTATAGGGTTTCAGAACGAACACCTCTGCTTTTTCAGATCGGTTGCTAAAAGAGACCATTTCAGGCACTCTGCAGACTCTGGAAGATAGTGACCTTTCTTTCCTTGGACTCAATTCACATTTTTCACTTCATTGTCATGTGGGATTATGATCTGCAATTGAAAGTAAAAGTGTAGATTAAGTAAAATATTTTGCACAAGAACTCAATTATATGGCAAATTCTGTGGCTGAGGAACTACAGAATATAGTCGATCCTTATTAAATGTTATTTTTGAAATGAATGTTAATTAAAGAAGGCTGAAGATGCAGGCTGGATGGATGAAGACAAAAAGAACAATCTCAGACCGTTGCAAAGACAATGTTTCCCCCAATGGAGACAGAACGGATGGCTAGTCTTACTCAGATTGCATCTCTTGAGAGGACGATTTATAATGTACAAGACAGGAGAAATTTATTTGCTAACATATGGAAAACATTTATGGGCCCTACTGAGGACCTGGAATTAAAGAAACACAGCTACATATTGTTAAAACCTCTAAATGGAGATTTCATTTTAGAAAAGCATTTAGATAAGCATTTTCTCCTCAAGTCAGTGCCATTTATTTCTACATACTTTTGCTTTGTGCCCTGTTAGGTATGAATTTCAGAACAGAGGTTTGTATTGATTCATCTAGTTGCTGTAGGTCTAATCCACAGGAAAATTTTTAGACGGCAAAGTCCTGTTTTTAAAGATACAACCCATGCTTCAGAACGATGGATGGGGAGCATATGCCATAGGGATGAGGCAAGGTACTGCTGCCCAAGTTACGGTCTGGGCACTGGAAGTTACAGTGATGGGAGGAGATAAGGCTACCGACACCAGTGATGCTTCCCAAGCAAATGCTTATGTATCCACAGCTGCAGATAATTCACCTCCTTGAAAACAAACCAAAACACCTTCTGGTACAAGAAAATGATCCTCCATTAAGCCACACAAGATCACAGCCTGAGGGAGAGCTCTACCTCTGGGGCAAACCTGCTCTTCCTCCTGTAAATAATTTGCTGGTTGCCTGGAAGGGTTGCGTGCTGACTGATGAATGAATGAAATGGATGATGTACAAGTTGCACGCACAAAAATACGCACAAAGTCATCACAGGCACAAAGTACACGGAGCGCTGCTGAAGCTAACAGGATCAGGGACAGTATAAAAGCCCTGTGTCAATCAATATCCAACAGCCATATCGGGGTCAGTGCCTATATGCAATGAGGGTGGTTGTTTTAAAGCCAATGCCATTACATTGGTGCAAACATCAGTGCTGACATGCAAGATAAAGCTGGGGTGGCCATCTGTAAAGCGGCGTAAGAAATGTGAAGTTTTGGACTGCAGCGGTTGAACAGATTGAAACATCTTCAAGGAGGGGCAGGACCTCGGGCCAAATATGTGAGGCAGCAGCGACGGCTGGGATTTTCAGAGACGGGTAAATGACTGATTAAATGACTCAATCATGCAGATGCTTTTGAAAATTCTGCCGCACACAGTTAAGTTTATTCATGCATGTGTGGGAGAGGGGGAGGACTGTGAAGATTTTAATAACTACCTTAGGAAATAAAGAAGAACAAGTGTACTTTCTCTTTAAAACAGAGAAAAAAAACCCTAAACCCAAAAAACCCACTGCTGTGGCTGGGGAAAAAGGGTTTACAGAAAAGCTGTAAAGAAGTTTTGTATGCACTGGTGACCAAATGGACTATGATATGCAAGTCAAAAAGAAGTGCAAAGAAAAGAATGAAACAGAAGGGTAAAAATAGAACATATCACAGCCCTATGAACTTCTTTCAGTCTAAAACCTCTATACGCTTATGCAGACTTCATAACCCACCATCACCTACCAGGATTCCCAGATAAATGGGAAATCAAGAACTTCAAAGAGCTTAAAGACTGCAGCAAAAGCAGAGACTTCATCCAGAGAAGGCAAAGAAATATCAGGGAAAAAGATGCTCCTAAAGCCTTGTTTTTGGAGTACCTGCCCCAATGTGACAGCTTGACCAACAGCACCACGTGAGCCACTACCATCGGTGAAGTCCCTCTCACACTCTGGAGATCACGCAACATGCAGAGAGAGCTGCCAGGCAGGGCACAACCCGAGGTGTGAATGTCCTCCTGGATCTCAACCAGGTGCCGACCCAGCTATGTCTTCCGTCCTTCCTAATGCTACCAAGTAGCTTGTTCCTCCTCCATCGAGCATCCTACCCATAAATATCTGCACAACAGGGGGTTATCTGTCACCTCCCTGGGGTCAAGTAGAGGGGAAAATCTCTTGTAGTTTTGGCTCTTTACTTCGAATGCAGGAGTTTGATATTGATGCAGCTGGAGCACCATTCATCCAACTTTCCCAATGTAAAGCAACACCTACTTAAAGGCAACAACTTCTTCCTCCCAGTAAAAAGCACCCTACGAATTTGAAAATCAATACTCAACCACAAGACTGAGCTTGTGGAGCAATACAGGAGCATGCCCAGATCCCTAAACGTCAGCTGGTTGGACTGTGGCAGGAATATCCTCTTCTATTTCCACAGGCTACTTTTCACTGCTTTAACACCAAGTATTTCCATGTCTAACCCAGCAAGAGTTGGCACACGCCCGCCCAAGGCACATTTCGACAGTCGTCCCCTTTCCGATAAGGGCCGAAGAGCTGCAAGCAAGTTCAGTGTGACCACCCAGCCCCAGCAGAGAGCACGGCCCGCCTGGCGAATCCGGGGACAAAACAGCACAAATCGGTAAAGGGCTCTGGCTCCAGCAGGGCATCCGTCCCAGCCCAGTGCCTATAAATCACTTCTGGCAGGTAGCTGGGAAGCAGCTGCTAATGACAGCTTTGCTGCGGCGCGCAGGAAGTCACCTTTTAACCCTGCCCGCTGTTGTTTGTCTCCGGAGCCGTGACAAAAGGACAGATAGGGACAACATGCCGGCCATCAGGAGGGTCTAGTCAAAATGCGGCACCTGGTCCCATACTGGCAAAACATCACCCTCAGAAATGCCTTTCGGCTCCGAGTGCTTCCTGGTGCCCGTTTTCAAACAGCTTGATGTCGGTTCTCTATTTTCCCTCATTCACCCTAAAGATGCAGGGAAGCATCCCAAAGGTGACTGCTGCTGCGCTGAGGATGTCCTACCTTCCACCCTCCTGCTATCCAGTCCCCACTTGTGCCACGGGACAAGCAGGGCATTTATAACATAACTGACGCACGTATGCCTGTGTCGGGGGGGTTGCGATCAGAGCCAAGCAAATAAATTTAACAAGACAAAGTATTCGTTGTGAGCATCTTGTTTTCAAGATCACAATTTCATCTGATGTGATTTTTTTTGTCTTTTGAAGTGTGCAAGTGTAGTGGGGACAGCAGCTGCTTCTGTCTCAGAAAAGCTCCAAAACACATTTTAGACATTAACACGAATTAAATACGAGCAACTCACTCCTGGTTAGATAGATGGCATGCTACCGTGCCTTCTTCCAGCTGAAAAACACTTGTTTGAACTTTCTACATTTCATGCATAGGCGAAACACCTTTAAAGTTGGCTGATGTTAACAATTGCAACTCAAAATCTCCTTTCCTTGCGTGAGTTGCTGCAACCTAAGATGCAGCCATCCACTCTAGCTTGTGGGAAGCTTCTTAAGAACAGAGAGAGGCATTAAGAGGTGTGTGCGCCACTCAGACCAAGCCATAGGAAATCTGAGGGTTACTATTCGCTCACTTCTAGCCCTGGTAACATCTGCTCTGCCATGCTTTTCATGTGGCGATGGGAGGCCAACAGAAAGTCAAGGCTTTACCTTCTGGAGAGGATATACTTCGATCAAATAAAACACACCCACTGGCCAAACACGATGACGGCTGGAAGCCAACCCCAAGGCATAAAAAGAAAAACCCTTTCCAACCTGACCATATAAACTGGAGTGTAAAGGAGAGCGACCTCAGGTGGAATGTACTTACAGTGAAGACATCATCATCGCCAACCTCGGCCTCGTTGTGAAGCGTTGAGGAGGAAGTCGTAGACCCTAGAAAAAAAAATAAACAGCTTTTTAAACACACGATATTTCTATGCAACCTTTTTTACTAGGCTGGTAAGCATCTGAATTCTCACAACTTTGTATGTTGTAGATGTGTAAAGGAGCAGCTCAAATTAAGGAAGAAAAACACATCTACTGGTAGCTGGGTTGGAAAGGTAAAATCTGAAAGTGTTTCTTGACACGCAACCGCATGGCTGCCAGTGCTAATTAACTATGTTAAAAATAGCAGTTACCATTTCCAATTACAGAAGACTTTCATTTCTGAAGAACGGCAAAGCTATGTACTAATCAGTGCTCCAGACTAGATCCTCAGCTGTCAAGAAACCATATACAAATTATTCCTCACATATTCCTTAAGTCTGGGGGGAAAATTACTTTCTATTTAAAAAAAACAAACCCAAACCTCACTTTGACAAACAAGAGTTAAGATTGCGTTTTTTTCTTCTTCTAATTTTGGAAGTCGTTATATATTGTAAAGCTCTTCTCTGTTATCAGCTATTTCTCAGAGAACTACCTTGCCCCACATAAGCAGAGTATTTGAAAGGAGCTGAAATGTGTAAAACCACAGACAAGAGCAGAATACTGGGGTGCAGTTCTCATTGCTTACATGGAAATCATCTGGAAAGTGGGAAATCACATAAAACACCCTTCCTCCTACCTCTTTCCCCAGCCCGTGGGTGACCACCCCCAGAGAGTCACTCAAGAGCCTTGTCAGCAGCCACATTGCAGAAGGGCAGCGGGGAGGATGGCACATGTCGTTGCTGGACCTGGCAGTAACTTGATGCTGGCTCAAAGGGGGTGACCCCTCTCCCCATGCCTGGCCAAGGGTCCTGGACCCCCTTCCTGGCTGGCTTCACCCCCCAAGAGGCTGCCATGGAGGGTGGGCGCAGCAAGACGCTCTGATGGGGGGAGAAATCTCAACTCAGAGGCAATTTTTTTTTGATGTAAGCCCACCGTTACACTGAATTAAGGCCACATCGCATCCCTAACTGAGATAGTTGAACGGTTCGTACCACCTTCATTCTGGAAATTTTTTAAAATAATGTGCTTTATATAATGCTATTGGCATCAGCCTTGGCCGCTCTCAGTTGCATCATCACGAAGATGTGCAGAGCTAAGTGCGAAAGCCCACTTAAAACACTAAGTAATGTGAAAACATTTGTGCCATTTGCTACATTAGCTTTAAAAGTAAAAAATCCAGACGCTCTACAGAGCTGCGTAGGATTCCTGTACTTGGGCACAGAACTTCTACACTTCTGATGCTACAGGGAACAAACCGTCAGTTAAATATTAGTAACAAAGCAGTGATTTTGTGAAGTTTCGAATGCACATCTTTTGTTGTGCTTAATATTACCTGCTAAATTTGACCAACTACGTGAATAAAAAATGAACAGTAAGTGAAATCCACTGCCCGACGCTGCGTGTGCACGAGCCAGTTATTGTTTTTCGTTCAGAAAGCCTTATTTGGAAGTTAAGGAGGAACACATTCATGAGGATCAGTCTGTGCTGTTAATGGGATAAATATAGATTTGCTGATTTTGAAGTATCTGAGATACAGCAGAACTAGATTTTAAATACCTCCACTGTAAAATGGGTCAGAAAGAGCAGAACAGGAGTTGCCACGTACCGGCATCTCCAAAACACTACTCGATACAGCTGAGTTACCATCTCCTTGAAACTTTGCACAATCCCGTGCCACTTAGATAAAACACCACTTTTATGCCTCAAAATGCTTCCTAGTTTTAGCAACAAGAAGAAGAAAGCGGAAGGCCTAGCTGTAACTTCTTCGCATTAATGGCACAGGAAAAAGAAAATTAGTAACTAGTTGAGAAGATCCTTCCTCTAACTGATGAGGTATTTACCAGGGAAGAGCCCTGGGGGATTAATTCTCTCCCAATATCTACCACTTCCATGTTAAAGCAAGACAGGGCATACAGAACGTTAAGGCAAGGCTCTGGACCACTAAGTTCCTACATAAAGTGGTATGGTTTAAAAAAAAAAAAAAAAAATCAAAGTAAAAAACCCCATGAAGAATCAAATTTCATTAAAATAAAGTACTATTGAATTATAGCTGTATTATGATTGCCTGATTGCAATGAAATGTGAAAAGGAAAAATTTATGACAACTTCAAAGCACAGGCAATTCAAACGCATTTTTTACACAATTAAAAAAAAAAACCCAAACACACAACAAAGTCTTCAAGAACTACCATTCAACTAAGCAGACGCAGAGAAAACTAATTACTGCAAAAAAAACCAAAAGCAAAACAAAATTTTATTCAACTCCAGGCAGGAATTCATACTATGATTTAACAAAGATTCATTAAGATGAGATTTGGCTGCGTATAAAGACGAGCTTGGGCTGATTGAGTTGCCATCGCGCGCGTGAAACCCAAGCCTATCAAAAAAGCGGTAATAACAGACTTGATGATAATTAAGGGGGGAAATTTGGACAGACCAGGCCAGGTAGGGTTGTAAAATACTTGGGACTGAAATCGCTCTTCTCTTTAACAGATGAGAAAACTCTGTTCTTAAAAGTAAGCTGGGGTTTGCTCAGTGCAGAGTAAGCACCCGGCTACACTTGGACACATGCACGAGAGACGTCCAAGCCCAAGAACTGATTTTAAACCCATCCCTCTTCCCAGTTCCGTCACTCAAACCCTTTTCCCCACTCTTCCAAGGGTCGAAGTGGCCGCTGCCACATGCCGCGGTACCTTCAATGAGGTCCTCGATGGCTTTCCTCACTCCTCTGTCAAAGGCTCGAGCATCAGCGGGGCTTTGAAAAGTGAGCCCAAACTTTCTGTTGTCGACTTTCCAGTGGTGGAAGGTGGGGTTCGCCTTCGTGTACACCAGGTCCTTCTTCACAAAGCACTCCAACACCACCTGGGAGGGCACGAGCCCCAAAAGAGGAGCAAAGTCACTTTTCCCACCCCAAGGACACAGCCGGCACCATCTCAGCCCGGACTCAAAAGCAAGCCAAGTCATGCCTCACGTAGGGGAACATCCTTCCCTACCAAATGATGACTAATAAACACCAGACACTGTAATTTTCTCATAACCATTGCACATTCATCTTTTGCTTGGGCTTTGAGTAGGTGCTTGCTCCCTACCCCAGGAGCCTATTTTGGACACAGATCCAGCGTGGCACAGGTTACAGCTAGCGGGGGCTCAGGTGGAGAGAGAACCTCTTGCCTCAATAATTTTGCTCAACAGAAATTTCATCTGCCAGCAGCAGATTTAGGAGGTGCTGTAACACTCCCCTCACCTCCCTCACTCCCAGCCAGGCACTCATCTCAAGCTCTGCTGTGCCAAAAACCATCTCTGGGGTGATGCTCAGGGAGAACAGGAATGGCTTGTTAGTCTTACTTCGTCCCCCAAAACCATAAGCATGGCTCCCAAATAGGTGTCAAAAAAGGCATCCTCAGAAAAATAGTACTGCAAAAGACAAACTATACTTGGAACAGCTTTAAAACACCAGTCTTTTTGAAAGCAAGATGATTTCCAACTCAAATAGTAAATTTTTTTCACCCGAACACTTCAAAAAGTTCACAAAGCCTGTGCCTGTACAGGGAGCATTACTTTTAAGCTAGCCCATCTCTTCACAGGAGAGAGTTTCAGAAGAATCAAATATATAAAAATGAGATAACAAAATGTAACATCTAAAACCCACCCTGGAAATAGGGAAAAGGCTTTTTTAATTTGATTTGTGCAGGGAAAGAAGAGAGCTCCTTTTTAGATAAACAGCTACCAGGAGAAACCGAGTGCGTCAATTCATAAGAGACAACTTGTCTTCATATTCTCACTCTGCTCGTTCAAACCTTGAACGGCACGCAGCATAAATAATTCATGGCCGTTTTAAAGGCTGGCACTGCATTACTCAGTGCAATGTGACTGGCTTCATGGGTCCTTTACACTTCAATTCACTTCTCACTTGCCCTGCTAGGTCTTAGAAAAAATCCCACAGGGCCTTCCTCAATCATCAAAGGGGGTCTTTGCACATGGATGTCGAAAATTTACCTGCTCCTTCCAGGTGGCAGCACGCCAGCCTAGATAGCAAAAGATGGGTTTGTTTTGTCCAATCTGGTACTATTTGCACATGCCTGTTTTTTACATTTCAAAAAAACTTGCACAAGAGTACAATAGCAATAGCTTTGGGATAATTCTCATTATAAGAACAGACAAAAGTTGAATTAGGGTCTATTACCAGTTTGTCTTTCTGCCTTTCACCATGGATTAGAAATCCACTTCTTCCATTGCCCTCCGGGTACGTGACCTTGCAGACGCCAACTCTACTGAGACCGCCTCCTTCTTGCGGCAACCATCCCCCACTGGAGTCATCTCGGGTCATAACCACAGCTTTGACTCGCACAATATAGCTGTCACTGCAATGGTAACAAAACAAAAACAAAACCTTTTGTGAGCATCACACAGTCTCATCAGAGCCTTTTTCTTGAGGGCGGTATTTAGGCAGCACTGGTCTGGCCCCAAGACAGAGTTTCTGCCCAGGATGGAAGTCTGCCTCTGTGACAGATGGCCTTGACCAGTCAAGCCACCATAGGAAAGAGACCCATCAAACAGCAAGGAATCAACCTGCTGGGTTTCCAGATGTCAACATACAGATCACACAACCCATTGTCCCACACACTCTTTTCTTCATGCAGCTGGGGACAGGGATGAAGAGAGCCGGGTGAGCCAGGCAGCACGCAAAGCCGCCGTCACCACAGGTGATGCATTGGGGCATCAGGTCTCCAAAGTGTTGGAAGAACATGTGGAGCTCAAATAACCCACAAACAAAGTTTTTTAAGGTTTTTGTGATCAAATTAGTGAAATGGGTTTTGGAAAACAATACTCAAATTCCTCCGCAACTGGGATAACCTTTATAGGAAAAAAGCCACAAGTGTGGCTTCCAGCTGGTACTTCAGGCAAAAGGAGATGGAAACCATCTCAGCTCAGGTTATCAGGACCACGCCATGTCCCCCAAACAGCTCCACCAGCATTTCAAGGGGCTTTCAAGGGCGGCACATCATAACCTCACAAGAAGCTATTCTGGAAGCCCCTGAGATCTGGGGATAATCCATCGCAAGGGGCCAAGAGAGCCCCCACAGTGGGAGGCTCTGCTCCCCCAGGCCTCATCCCATACCCTTTCCACAGAGCTGTTGTTCCAGCATCTGCTGGGGACATCACCAGGCAGGGGGTCATTTGAGAGCAGAAAGGCCACTACAGAACGTAAGCAAAAGCCGTGCACCTTGCATGTGTCACGCAATAAACTCCAAGCTAAAACAGGCTGTCCCCACCCCACAGCTGCTGGGAAAATACCTAAATTAGCTTTTCTGTCCTCACACTGCTGCCCGGTCCTGGCTCAGCGCAACCCCTCACATGCTAGACATCGAATGACCCAATGACTGCTCAGGAACAGTGCTGACGGCTGTGACGCCCTCACAGAGAGGTCACCACAGCATGGTTAGATGTCAACCACACACAACCACGGCACTGTCGGCTGCAGAGCTGCTGAGACACCCACGAGTGCCCGCAAAGGTGCCTCAGGGCACTCAAACCTGAGCAAAAATAGGAATACCAACAGGGGCTGAGAAAAAGAACGCGCAAAGAAAATTGCCCAGGAATTGTCCATCTTCAGGCCACCAGGTGAGCTCACCAGAAGACAGCTCAACCTGCAGAGGGCTCCAAGAGGAGGCCTTTAATAACGACAGGTATCATCCTTTAGGGAAAAAAAAAATTCCTCCTTGAGGAAAGCTCTGTATCCGGACATTTTCACAGCATCCTATATAACACAAGAGAACGGGCCCTTTCTATCCAAAATTAAGAGCAGAGGTAGATTTCCTCATCCTGCACCAGGTAAACAAGTGCTTCTTGTTTTCAGACATTATTTTTGCATCACTTTTGTAATCTCAGTGCTAATGCCTGAAGTCTGAGTTCCCCTTTCTCCGTTGTGTTTAACACCTAAGCAAGCAGCCTCACGGACCCTCCTTGAAGGCACTTCTGAGGACAGACCAAGGAGGCAGCAAGCATCTCCTGGTCAGAGGCACCTGGAACCGGCTAATCCCTTCTGCAGTTGGACAGATCTTGCAAAACACACACCGCAATTTTCCCTTCACCGGCTTTATTTGACAGATATACCAACTTTCTCACCAGACCTACACGATGAAGGCAGCACAAGAGATGCTGACGGTTCATCCCTTATTGCTCTGAGGACTTTGCAGCGGCTGATAAAAAGCTTTTCAGCGCACTCAGATACACGGCCTGTACCGCAGCTGACGCGCAAGGCATTCACCGAACTGAGAAACAACATTTTAAAGAGTATTTTTGCTTTTGAGTCCTTAAAGCAGCATCCTGGTATGGGAACTAGTGGCAACTTTAATCTCTTGGCATCCTGATAATCAAAATTAAGCAAAATACTTCAGCTAATTTCCTACTGTGCAAAAATCGAGCCGCTTCCATCCATGACCATTTTTGTTTTCTTCTCTGTACCTTTCCCATGTGGTCTATAAGGATTAGCAACTAACAGATAAAGAAAAAAGAAAGCCAACTATATGTTTCTTATATAGTTCTCCTGGTCCCCAAGAATCCTTTCTGGACTTAATTTTTAACTCTTCTCACTTCTGGAGAACTCCCATTAAATTTCAAGCTCTCTTCCGAAGTCGGAGCCGCTCAGCACAACCTTCCTTCCCATCTTCCCACAAAAGCCATCCACACAAACTGCCGCTTCTCCTTCCACACTTGAAAATTGCCATTGGCCATATAGCTTCCTGCGGGATTTACCGTTCACTTTTACGGCAGCAGCCGGAGCTTTTGGTCGTCCCAAAAGTAATGTCATCTTCAGTTACTTTGCTGCAGGAATCGTCCATTTAGAGGCAAATTAAGAAATCAGCAGCTATGCAGTACTTTCAGCACTCAGTGATTTTTCCCAATTATCTGCGTGCTTCCATCACCTCCCGGTGATTTCTCTAGACTCGTAATTACGTTTGAACACTAGTGGATGACTACACGTTAAATTTAGGTCCTCTGACTACCGTCCCTGCCCATTATACTCACAAGCTGGTGGGGCACAGAGCCATACGGTTTTCTTCTTCGTATCTACACCGATACAGTGACCTGTGGCTCTTAGCCTCTGCCACCAAGGCCACCGATTTCACCCAAGAGAACACCACATCAACTGCATTCCTCCCATCTTGAAGAGCTACCTCCTTAAACATACCAAGCCAGAAGCCCTAGTTTCCACACCCCTACCACGGCAAGAAGACCTCTGCTCCTCTATCAGAAGAGGACCTTGTGCAGCAGAAGGGCTCACCTTTGGCAAGGTAAGCCGAGCTCCGGCTCCGTTAACGTAACCCCTTGGCACGCTTTCCCGCACGATCAAAAGTCACCGGTGACGCCGCGCTCCCTGAAGAGCCCTGTGCCTACTCCCACCGGGCTCCAGCCACGGGCGCATGCTTCCCAACGTGCCAGCTATGCCAAGGGACTTAGGAAAAAGAAAGAAAGGAAATAAGGAAAGAAGGCGGTTAAAGCTCCTTAGGGCTTGACATCTCAAGTGTCGGACAAGGACTCAGAAGCTGCATGTTGAATTTTCAAGGCTACGCGCTGCTTCCTTATCTTGCCTGCCGTTTCCATCCACAAGCCTAGAATAGGCAATGCTTCTTTCCCTCATGCCAGTGTTGATAAATACTTGGGAGGTACTCAATATTTCAGGTCCATATAAGGGCCTTGCTTCCTTAGTGTAAAAGCTGTTTATTTTCTTTGCTATTTAATTTTACACGACTGCACAGAGGCTCCAGCTGGTTGCAAGCATTCAAAATCCTCAGGAGTGAAGGAGAGATCTGGAAATGCCATGTGCGTGTCGCTGCTGAAACCTTGGTGCACCGAAGCAGCAAAACAACCATGTCCAAGTCATCCACCTGCACTTTTATCGTGGCAACTGTGCAATTTGACTATTCCAGGAGAAACAGTTAATGAGGTCTGTGAAACTATTTGGTCCGTTACCATTAATGAGATACTGAGATTAGATAACGCAAGCCTTTCGTATAGTTAAAAATGAAACTGCTAAAAAAAGCCCCTGCAGTAGCCTTAGTTCCCCTCATTTTACTGGCTTCTCAAAACTTTAAGACTGTTCTAATAGTCCAGCTTATGGCCTACGCACTTCGCGTTTCATGCAAACTATTCTTAATTATGCTCTTAAATGGAATACTTTGCTATCTTAACCCTACAGATTTGTCTCCAACAGCCTTAAAAGCTCGGGAAGAAAGTATCTGCAGGGATTACCCAGCTGCATGGCAGCCGGCCAGCATGTTCCAGGGCTGCTTCAGGTTGTTCGCTCGCCCCACCCAGAGCAAAAAAACCATAATGAACTTGGGGAGTAAAGGTAGCGCGGAAAACCGCGTGCTGTTTTTATTGGAAGGAAAAGAGCTTTAAAAATTATAGCTCGTGGATGTGCACTTATATATATATAAAAATGTATGTGCAAGAGTGCGTGCATAATTGCTACTCTGAAGTATATTGAGAATTTTCCCAAACAAGAAGTAACTGCATGATTATGTTTGCAATAACTGAGCCCTGGCTGCATTGCGCAGAGCCTAACTTTTACAGAGGATTTGTGTCTAAGAGACAGGCGACATTTAAAGCGGATAAAAAAGCATGCACGAGCCGCATCAAAGCGCGGCCGACACCGTCCAGCGCTCTCCGACATGAGCCACATCACTTCCAGCAACCGCACCGCAGCAAAACCCACGGGGGGAAAAAGCCCCGAGCCTTGTTATACGCCTTGCGTGGGCTTACAGCTGCAGTCCTGCACCCGAGGCTAACAGCAACAGTTCCTTCGTCAGCTAAGGCTTTAATTTTGCCAGCGTCTTCGTAAAAGAAGGGTCAAAGTACGCAGCTCCCTTCCACCAGCCGCTCTCTTCCACTTTGCTTCCAACGCAGCAACTGCAAATACCAGCTGAGATGTCTAAAAAATCCCGAGGAGGTGCGGGGAAGCATCCAAGCCGCCACATTTACTACTTCCCTTTGAGTCGCATTTAGCATCTAAAACACTTCCCGGACACCTTCTATAATTCAATAATATTTCTTCCTCTAGCCAGGCTAGCTGACCAAAATATAAACTTAATAAACTTTCACCCTAATGCAGCCACACAGCGCTTCAGCATTTCCCTCCCTTCTCAACCTTCCAGCTTACAAGGCCAGGAGAGATTCAGGTCTCGGACAGAAAGGTAATTGCTTTTAACTGGTTTCAAAAACACGGACTACTGTCTTCAGCGCATCGACATTCCCATTTTCAGGGCAGAGCCAAAATGACAGCAGGAGGCTGCTAATGCAACCGTGGAAGGGGTTGGCTGTTCAGCTGTACTGAACCACGGACACCGGTCG